CACACACACACACACACACACACACACACACACACACACACACACACCCTGTCATTTTTTGTGGCAGGGCCACGAAAACCTCGTGCTTCAAATCCGAAATTCCGGTGCAAGGGTATGACGGAAAGATGCATGCCGCACATGAGGGCATATCTCGCAGGGTCCGGTGAGATGGGACTGGCCGTCCAGTAAGGGCACTGTGGTAAGCTGCACCCCTTGCTGACAGGGGCATGCAAGAAAGTTCAGAGGCCCCAGGGGCACGGCAGGGTTAGTGGTCCGTCGAAGGGGCGAGGCGCAAAATAATGGGAAGTAGAGGGGCGTCAGACAAGTTTTCGCAAGAAATGAAAGACTCCTGGAATGACGAACTCATTCCGGGGACCATAGCCTGTCGTCCAAGGAGATCACTGGATTTAGCCAGCCCTTGGAAGATCTCCGACCGAGTCTCCGAGATGCAGTTGAACGGGGAGTTTGTGAACGCGAGGTGTAGGTGGGATACCAGACCAGACGCGGCAAGGCACGAAGCAACGTCTTCTCTGTATTTACGTTGATTACTGACGTACTGACCAGCAAATGTAGAGAACCTAAGAAAGAATTCTGTATGTGTGAAACTCATGGCATGTATCCGAGAGATGGTTAATGGAAGGCCCAAAATTCAGGTTTTTCTGCCGCATCACCACAAAAAAGGGTCATTGAAAATGCGACGAACAAACACTGCAGGCACGTAATACAAACATTAAAAATAAAAGTAAAAAACATGCAAAGAAACAAAACAAAAAAAAAACATGCAAAGAAACAAACAAACAAAAAAAAAACATGCAAAAGCACCATGATTTAGTATAAATCCCTATTCGGAGTAGCTTTCAGAATTCGCTGAATTTTTCTCCGATTTCGGTTTTTTTGCCAACTTTTTCGTCGCTTGTCCAAAATTCCAAATATGTTGAAACCATACATGCAAGCGCACGTCGTGTGGGCGGTTCCCTACGTGCGGCGCACGCGCCGAATCGATCCCGTGCGGCGCACGACGTGTGCGGAGAACGACCCGTCACCCCCCTCAGGAAAAAAAAAAAAGGCCGGGGTCGAAACAGTGTGTTTGAGGCCCCCCGCCAAAATTATAAGCGAGATGAAAAAAAAATTACAGGAGTACTGCCTCACCTTGCTCTTCCTCCCCTTCCTCATCCTCCATGTCTCCTCCTCCCTTCTCCTTTTCATCTCCTCCTCCTCCTCCTCCTCCTGTTCGTCCTCCTCCTGCCCTTCCTCGTCCTCCTTGTCTCCTCCTCCTCCTCTTACTTCCGCATCTTCCATGCCTCCTCGTCTCCTTCTCTTCCTCGTGTCCTCCCCTTCCTCGCCGTCCATGTCTCCTCCTCCTCCCACTCGTCCTCCTCCTCCTGCCCTTCCTCTTTTCCCTCCGTTCATATCTTCTCCTCCCCCATCTTGACTCCTCCTCCTCGTCGTCCTCGCTATCCTGGTCGTCCTCCTCGTCCACATCCTCCTCCTCCTCTCCATATCCCCCTCTCCTCGCCATATCCCCATCTTCCTGTCATACGCCCCCCGTTCCCCCTCCCAAAAA